GCTTTGCAGCCTCAACAGTTTTTGAAAGGCATCTTCTGAAGCACTGCTGGGATGTGTCTGCGTTAGCTGAGGGAAGACCGGAGTCAGCAAAGCACACAGCCCTGAAAGATTGGGGGGAAATCTCTTCTTTCTTTTTGATCTTCAGAGTTATCCAAAAAGAGTGTTAACGGATCTTTCTGCTTCACATCACCTGTATTCCCCAGGCTATCGCTCCCCCCACCCAGAGAGCCATCCCTTATAACAAAATTTTTAAATGGGGAAAAACAGTTCAACAGAAGTATATCTGGCTTCTCTTGTTTACTCATTCAGTGGCGTCCAACTCTTTGTGACTCCATGGACCGTAACATGCTGGGTCCTTCTGTCCTCCACCATCTCCTAAAGTCTGTCCAAGGTCATGTTTGTGGCTTCCATGATACTCTCTCTCTAACTCATCCTCTGCCATCCCCTTCTCCTTTTACCTTCAATCTTTCCTGACATCAGGGTCTTTTCCAGTGAATCCTGTCTTTTCATTGTGTGGCCAAAGTATTTAAGCTTCAGCGTCAGTAATTGTCCTTCCAATGAATAGGCTGAATTAATTTCCTTGAGCATTGACTAATTTGACCTCCTTGCTGTTTGAGGGACATGCAAGATAGATGTGTATTATGATGTTGAATGCTTTACTGTGGATTCTAACAGGTATCATCCTGTCATGTTGGAGATTCTACCCCAGTTCTGCTTTTCTGACCCTTTTATTGCCTATGAGGGCTGCTCCATTTTTCTGAGGGATTCTTGCCTACAGGAGTGTATGTGGTGATCATCTGAATCAAATTCACCCGTTCCTGTCCACTTAAGTTCACTGACACGCATGACGTTGATGTTTAATCTTTCCATCTCCTGTTTACCACATCCAGCTGCCCTTGGGCCAGAGGTCTAACGTTCCAGGTCCCTGCACAATACTGATCTCTTGTCACCAGACTCGTCTGCAGCTGAGCTTCCTCTGGGCTGTGGCCCAGCCACTGCATTAGTACTGGAGCTCCTTGTAGTTGTCCTCTGCTCTTCCTCAGTAGCATTTTGGACACCTGCTAACCTGAGGGGCTCAGGTTCCTGTGATGTCTCTTTTATCATTTATTAGTCTCCATGGGGTTTTCTTGGCAAAGGCACTGCAGTGGTTTGCCATTTCCTTCACCAGTGGATCGCCTTTCATCTGAACTCTACACTGTGACCTGTCCATCTTGGGTCACCCTGCATGGCATAACTCATGGTTTCAGCTAGCTATGCAAGCCCCTCCGCTATGATCTATAGTATCTGTTACGTGAAGACATTCCACACTCACAGTTTCCTGCTTTTTCTTTGGGACCCCACTGAAGTCTGGCTCCAGACTCCCTCATTCCTCCAAAACTGCCCTCATCAAAGTTATCAGTGATCTCTTGGTTGCCCAAGCAAAAGCCTTTTCTCAGTCCTCATTCTCCTGGACCTCCCTGTGGACTGGGCCGCCGGCAATCACCCTCTGCTCCCTCTCTAGGTTTTCAGGACACTCCCCTCTCCTGCTTCTCCTCCTGCGCGTCTGACCGCCCCTGCTTGGTCACCTTGTTCCGTCTTCATCCAGGTCCCACCTGCTGGCCGAGGGTGTCCTTCCAGACCCTTGCTTGGCCCTCTTCTCTTCTCTCCCCCACTCCTCTGCTTAATGATCTCATCAGCTGCACAGATCCAGCGCTCTCTATGCAGCTTACTCTCTGATCTATCTGTCCAAGCCTAAGCGTTCTCCAGACTTTGCCTTTCTTTGTAGCCTGGGGTTCTGTGCTTGAGGGCTTGAGAGCGTTCCATTTCCTTTATTGTTTGTGGTCTTGTATGTTTTGTTTGTGTGGTTCTGCTCATCAGGAGAAGGGCTAATACTCAAATTAGTGGTTTTCTGAATTAGCTTTCCTCAACTTCTTATGTAAAATAGGAAAAATAAACTTAAAGTCTTGACAAGACCATTTAAATAATCACAGTGTGTGTATAGGTGGTAATACATTCTTTATAATCTGTTCTAACAAATCCTGCCTTAGATTCTTTTAGAATTTCTCTTCCCAGCGTGACAAAGCACTTCTCATGGGGCAGGAAGTGACCAACCCTCAATCACTAAGCTTGTATTGTTGTTGTAAACTCTCAGGTATGACTTCCATTTATTCTGGGAAAGTCAAGGCCTAGAGAGGTCAGAGTGCTTGTCTGAAGTTGTATGGCCTGGTTCAGCGAGAGCCTTGGGTCTGCATTTGTAGTCGGCGCCTGGGCTGTTCTGCTAAAGCAGGAGACCTCCTTTACTGAGCAGTGCTGTAAGGATGGGATTGTAGAGATGGTGCAGTGGCAATCATGGATATTCCGGTCACATGTAGTTAAGAACTTTGACTGAGTTAAGCATCTGAGATGATGGGGGGAGGGAATCAGATGCTGTAGAGAAGCATTTTTTGAACTGTGGGTCATGATCCTGACAAATTTGGCAACAGTGAAATGTTTCTGAACACACAGTGACCGAGAATTAATTGACAGTCGAACATGTGATCAGTTGGAGATGTTTCTGGCAGCCCTTGCCTGTGTTGTGTCGAGCAGCTTCGCTGTCACTGTGGTTCTGAACACACAGCGTGCACACTTTGCACTGCACGTGCCCTCAGGCCACGCGACACCAGCTGACCCGGCCAGAACACGAGAAGTGGGAGAAGCGCAAGGAGCTCCGGGGCCGAGAGCCCTCGCTGCCCAACAGTTCTGTGGAAGAGCGCTGGTGAGAATGTCAATCCGAAGGTTTGCTGAGATCAGGAAGAAGAGCCAGGGCGGTCAGCCCTGTTAGATGCCCTTCTGTCTTCTCTGTTGCTTGTTCGCACCAGGAGGTAGAAGCCATGTTGTGGGGCATCCCGGTGTGATGGTCAGAACACTGCCCATCAGTCACTTGGTAAATGTTTATTAAGTGCCTACCGTGGTATGCTGAGCGCTGAGGACACAAAGGAAGGCAAAAGACAGTTCCTGGCCTCAAGGAGCTTTCAGTCCAGTGGGGGAGACAAACAGACACGGACAAACACGCGTGTGCATAAACGTTTCTTCAGCTCTGTGGAATCCTGCTCTTGCAGCACAGCCTCCCTGGCAGGGCTGAACCTCTCCGGGAAGCAGTTACATGAATTGAAGCGACGTATGGAAAGCTCTTTGCAGACCTTGAAGTGGCTTGTAAATGGAGGTGTTAGTACTGGTAGCATGTCGTTTTCCATTTTCACGCCTCCTCTGATATGAATAATCAGCATCTGCTTTGAAAAGAGTGACCGGAGAGGTAACAACTACCAGGAACCTTAGACAGTCTTAACATTTGCATGGGAAACAGGGCGAGGGGACACGTTTCCTGTGCAGGGACCATCTGGGATATGTCTGGAGGCAGGAAATATCCCATCAGGTGGGGATTGAGGAAGACTCAGGCAGCTGGTTTTCTTGAGCAGGGACATTTTCTGGCTTCCGATGTTGTGATTGTTCTGGAAAGCTGAGGTTGGGCAAAGTCTGCCTGTTGGACACGTTGTCCCAAGTCGGACAAAACTACTTTGGGGCACTGTGTACGGTCACGTTCATTAATTCAGATGCCTTTAAGTAGGAATTCCATGAACATCATGACAACTTCCCAGACCGAGGCAGCCTTGCCATCACCTCTTGTGGGAGACTGGGAGACATGTTCCAGTCTTGGAAAGGCAGATTGAGTCAGGCCCTGCCCACCAGTGCCTGACCTTCCACCTCCGCAGGTGTAAATGCCTAGTACTCTAAGGAGAGAGAGTCAACCAAGAAGGTAATCAAGGAAGCTTCCATTAGGAGGCAACACCTTTTCCCAGCCTTGAGGGAAAATTTTGACAGGTTAGGTTTGGAGAACAATTAGAAGCTCATTCTGGATGGAATGAGGAGTCCATGGAGGGAAAGTAACATAAAATCTGTAAAGTTAGAGAGGTGAATTGGAGCCCTGCGGTGCAGGCCTTTAAAAAGTGAGCATTTTCTTCTGAAGGCCATGAAGAGCCTCTTTCAGCTTCATTAATAGAGACCTCTGCCTTCCTTTGGCAGCTTTGCAGAAGAGAGATTGGGACAGGAATAGGTGGGGGGACTGGACGGTGAGTATGTCCAGGTGAAAGATGACAAAGGCCAGACCAGGGGGCATTTGTGAATGGACAGAGGACGGGGTAGGTGGGTAAGAGGGACATTGGTGGAGGTCAGAATGATGAGATGCGGCTGCCAGTGGGAACGTGGGAGAGAGACAAGTCCAAGGCCACGTCATGTGGGCTGTTGTGGCATCCTCAGTAGAAACAGGTGATGGTACATGGGAGCTGCTGAATAGGCTTAAAGGGAAAACGTCCATGAGACAATCGGCAAGGCTGGCCTGGGGTGCAGGAGAAAGCTGAGGGCTGATATTAGCAGGAGAGGAAGCATTCATTGCTTTGCTGTAATAGTTCATGGGAGCTGATGAAGTCACCAGGACGGCATGGAGAGAAAAAATAGGGGCACGCTAGATTGGGGGGCTTCCTCTGCCACGTGTCACATTTGCACATGGCCTCTATCACAGGAGTTTGTAGGGAGCTACTCATGGCAGCAGGAATTCAAATTCAGTGGCCCAGAAAGAGGATAATGAACAATAATCAGAGCTAACATTTATGTAATGCTTGCTATGTGCCAGGTACTGTGCTGAGTTTTACAAATGTTATCTGATTTCATCCTCACAACAACCCTTCAGAAGCAGGCGGTGTTATCCCCATTTTACAGATGATGAAACTGAGGCAGACAGCGGTGAAGTGACTTGCCCAAGGTCCCCCAGTTAGTAGGTGGCTGAGGCTGAGTTTGACCTTAGGTCTTCCTGACTGTCCTTGGTGGAATGGGGGTGGGTCAGTAGTCATCATGGTGACTCAGAGGGGAGGAGTGGGAGAAGATCCTCTGCTTTCCCCCCACACACACAGTTCATTACCTTTGTCACTGTTTCAGATCTCATGTGAAAAACAAACCCCTGAATGTTTTGTTTCTCCCCCTTTTCACAGTTGCACTAAAGTCTTCCCAGGCTGACCTAAATGGAAGTCGAGAGAGCAGCAGAGGCCAACTCCAGGACAGCCTGCGCTTACAGGAAGGGGAGCTCCTGCTACAGGTGAGGAGTGGGCCGGGGGCAAGACCGAGGTGATTCAGATTCTTGTGGGGAGGGAATCCTTGGACGGGGTGACCAGTGTGTACTACCTTCTGTCCTTTCTCATGTAAAACCTTTTAATGATCTCACTTTATTTATGGCTCAGGGCCTGTAGCTTCACACAGTCATGTGTAGTCGGATGCAATGGAAACAGTTATAGCATCTCACTGATAATCAGCGCGTGAGCTGGGAATTGAATCCTGGTGTCTGGCTTCCATCAGAGCTCTTCCATCACATCATTTTACCTACTGCAAAAAATGAGGCCCACACACCTGCAGGTCCTGCATTTGACGGTGGCCCAGCATCTCTGCCCTGCCCCCTCGAATGGCCTGTGCAGGTTCTGTGTGGCCACATTGTCCAGCTTGGGGCAGGTTGGGACGGCTTCTGAGATTGGCTTCTAAAAGCCCTTGGAATCTGTGCCTGCCTCAGCCCCTCATATGGGGGCACCTTTCCTGGAGAGCTGTGATTCTTGGAAGCAGGAGTCATAATCGGACTTTGGAAACTGTCCCACCCTATTTTTTCATTTAATTTTTATTTTGTTTTTCTCAATTACATGTAAACAAAAAAATTCTAACACTTTTTAAAATTTTTGAGTTCCAAATTTTCTCTGTTCCTCCTTCCTTCCGCCCTTGAGAAGGCAAGCATTTTGAAATAGATTATACATATGTAGTCATGCAAAACATTTCCACATTAGTCACGTTGCAAAAGAAAACACAGACCAAAAAAAAGAAAAGAAGGAAAAAGAAAGTGAAAAATAACATGCTTCAATCTGCTTTCATACTCATCAGCTCTTTCTCTGGAAGTGGATAGCAGTTTTTATCTAAGTCCTTTAGGAATTGTCTTGGATCATGGTATTGCTGAGAAGAGCTAAGTCTTTTACAGTATTGCTCTTACCATATACAACGTTCTCCTGGTTCTACTCACTTCACTTTGCTGCAGTTTATATAGGTCTTTCCAGGTTTTTCTGAAAGCATCTAGCTCATCATTCCTTATAACTCCATTGTATTCCATCACAATTATATACCTTAACTTCTTTAGCCATTCCCCAATTGATTGGCATCCCATCAATTTCCAATTTTTTTTGCCACCACAAAAAATAATTGCTATAGGTATTTTTGTGTATATAGATCCTTTTCCTTTAATCTCTTTGGGGTACAGACCTAGTAGTGGTATTGCTGGGTCAAAGGGTATGCACAATTTTAAGCCCTTTGGACGTAGTTCCAAATTGTTCTCCAGAATGGTTAGATCAGTTCACAACTCCACCAATAATGCATTAGTGTTCCAATTTTCCCACATCTTCTCCAACATTTATCATTTTCCTTTTCTGTCATATTAGCCAATCTGATGGGTGTGAGGTGGTACCTCAGAGTTGTTTTAATTTACATTTTGCTAATCAATAGTGATTTAGGACATTATTTCATATAACTATAGATAGCTTTGATTTCTTCTTCTGAAAACTTTCTGTTCACATCTTTTGGCAGTTTATCAATTGGGGAATAACTCATATTCTCATAAATTTGACTCAGTTCTTTATATATTTAAGAAAGAAGGCCTTTATCAGAGAAACTTGTAGAAAATTTCTTAGTTTCCTGCTTCTCTGTTAATCATGGCTGCACTAGTTTTGTTTGTGCAAAAGCTTTTTAATCTGATCTAACCAAAAGTATCTATTTTATAGCCCATCATGCTCTCTGCTTCTTTGATCATAAATTCTCCCCTTATCCATAAATCTGACAGGTAGAATACTCCATGTTCCACTTATTTGCTCATATCTAAATTTCTAAATCAGGTACTCATTTTTACCTTATCTCACCGTACCCGCTGTACTCATTGTAAGATGTTGGTCTATATCTGCTTTCTCTTTTGTCATATAGTGACTTCTTATCCCCAAATCTTGGATTTTGGGGTTTGTGAAACACTGGATTTGCTGCGGTCATTTACTACTGTGTATGGCGTACCTATTCTGTTCCACTGATGCACCACTCTGTTTCTTAGCCAATACCAGATTGTTTTAATGATTACCACTTTGTAATACAATTTGAGATCTGGTACTACTAAGCCACCTTCCTTCACAATTTTTATTCATCAGTTTCCTTGATATTCTTGAACTTTTGTTCTTCCAGATGAATTTTATTATGATTTTTTTTCTAACTCATTAATGTTTTGTAATTTGATTGATATGGCACTGAATAAATAAACTAATTTAGGTAAAATAGCCTTTTTTTATTATATTAGCTCAGCCTACCCATGAGCAATTAATATTTCTCCAATTGTTCAGATGTGACTTTATTTGTGTGAAAAGTGTTTTATAATTGTGTTCATATAGCTCCTGGGTTTGTCTTGGCAGGTAGACTCTTAAGCATTTTATATAGTCTACAGTTATTTTAAATAGAATTTCTCTTTCTTTCTCTTGCTACTGGACTTTGTTGGTAATACATAGAAATGCTAATGGTTTATGTGGAACTTTGATGAAGTTATTAATTATATCAAATAGTTTTTAGTTGATTCTTTAGGGTACTCGAAGTATACCATCATGTTGTCTGCAATGAGTGATAGTTTTATTTCCTCATCACTTATTTTAATTCCATTAATATATATATTTTTTGGTCTGATTGCTGTAGCAAGAATTTCTAGTGCAATATTGAATAATAGTAGTGATAACAGGCATCCTTGTTTCACTCCTGATCTTATTGGAAAGACTTCTGAGTTATTATCCTTATGACAGATAATGTTTGCTGATGGTTTTAGATCATTTTAAGGAAAGCTCCATTTATTCCTATGCTTCTAGTGTTTGTAATAGGAATGAGTCTTGTATTTTGTCAGAAGCTTTTTTTGTACCTATTGAGATAATCATATGATTTTTGTTCACTTTGTTATTGATATGATAAGTTAGGATAGTTTTCTTAATCTTGAACTATCTCTGTATTCCCAGTATAAATCCCCCCCGCAACTCAAAATGTGTATCTTTGTGATATGTTACGGTAAAATTTTTGCATTTATATTTATAAATGAAATTGACTCTCTGTTTTAGCTCTTCCTAATTTAGGTATCAGCACTGTACTTGTGTTGTAAAAAGAATTTGTCATGACTCCTCCTTTGCCTATTTTTCCAAATATTTTATATAAAATTGGAATGAATTGTTCTTTAAATGTTTGGTAGAATTGCCTGGTGAATCCATTTGGTCCTGGGGATTTTTTTCTTAGGGAACTCATTGATAGCTTGTTCAATTTCTTTTTCTAAGATAGGGTTATGTAAGTATTCTATTTCCTCTTCAGTTAATATGAGCAATTTCTATTTTTGTAAATATTCATCCATTTCACTTAGATTGGTAGATTTCTTGGTATATAATTGGACAAAGTACCTCCTAATAATTGATTTAATTTCCTCTCCATTTGTGGTAAATTCACCCTTCTCATTTTTGATACTGGTAATTTGTTTTTTTAAAATCAAATTAACCCTCTTTTTTTTCTATCTTGATGGTTCCCCCCCCCAAAACTAGCTCCTAGTTTTACTCATTAGTTCAATGGATTCTTTACTTTAAGTTTTATTAATCTGTCCTTTGATTTTCAGGATTTCCAATTTACTGTTTATTTGGGGATTTTTAATTTGTACTTTTTCTAGTTTTTTTTTTTTAGTTGCATGCCCAAGTCATTGATCTGTTCTTTCTTTTCTATTTTATTGATGTAAGCGTTTGCTTGTAAGGTTTTTATTCCCTAAAACATAGTCATTTTTTTGTAAAGGTGCCATGTACAGCTAAGAAAAAGGTATACTCAGGGGGGCAGCTAGGTGGTGCAGTGGATAGAGTACCGGCCCTGAAGTCAGGAGGACCTGAGTTCAAATCCGGCCTTAGACACATAACACTTACTAGCCGTGTGACCCTGGGCAAGTCACTTAACCCATTGCCTAAAAAAAAAAAGTGTATTCCTTTCTATTCCCATTCAGTTTTCTCTAGAGGTCTAAGATATCTAACTCTTCTAAAATTCTCTTCACTTCTCTTTTTTCTTGTTTATTTTTTGGTTAGATTTATCTGCTTCTGAGACGGGAGAGTTGAGGTCCCCACTAGTATAGTTTTACCATCTATTTCCTCCTGTAAATTGTTTAATTTTGCCTTTAATAATTTGGATGTTATGGAATTTGGTACATATGTATTTAGTATTGATATTAATTCATTATCTATGATACCTTTCAGTAAAATATAGTTTCCCTGCTTATCTCATTTAATTAGATTTGTTTTTGCTTTTGCTTTGTCTTAGATCATGATTGCCACTCCTGCTTTTCTGTTTAACTTCAGCTGAAGCATAATACATTCTACTCTAGCCTCTTATTTTTACTCTGTGTGTATCTCTCTGTTTCAAGTATGTGTCTTGTAAACAACATATTGTTGGATTTTGGTTTTTAATCCATTCTGCTATCTGCTTCCATTTTATGAGTAAGTTTATTCCATTCACAGTTATAATTATCAACTGTGTATTTCCTTCCATCCTGTTTTTTCCCATTTATCCTTCTCTCTCTCTCTCTCTCTCCCTCTCTCTCTCTCTCTCTCTCTCTCTCTCTCTCTCTCTCTCTCTCTCTCTCTCTCTCTCCTTTCCTCCTCTCCTTTCTCCTTCTCCTCTCTCTCCCTCTCTCCTTTCATCCCAACTCGAAAGTCTGTTTTGCTTCTGATCACTGTCTCCCCCAATCTACCCTCCTTTCTGTCAACCCCATCCCTCTCTTCTCCCCCTCCTCTCCTACTTCCTTGTAGGTTAAGATACATTTTATACCCAACTGAGTGTGTGTTATTCCCTCTTTGAGCCAATTCTGATGAGAGTAAAGTTCGAGCATTGCCCAACACTCCCACCTCTCCATTTTTCCCTCCATTATAAAAGCTATTCCTTTAATGCTTTCTTTATGTGAGATAATTTCCCAAGTTCTTTCTCTCCCTATTCCATTCTTTTAGTGCATCCCTCTTTCTTACCCTTTAATGTTAT